CGTGGGGAATCTGCCTACTGATATCACCGAGGAAGATTTCAAGCGCCTCTTCGAGCGCTATGGGGAGCCTAGCGAGGTCTTCATCAATCGGGACCGTGGCTTCGGCTTCATTCGCCTGGTGAGGATTCGCGCGAGCCCTTGTGGCTGGCCCGGCACCCAGGGGGAGCGGGAGACTCCGGTCCCTTTCCCCCGCCCCCCCACCTTTCCTTGTCTGTCGGGTGTAAAAAAAGACCGTAGCTGCCCCTCATTCTCTCCTTGCTGCTGGCGCTGTTCCCTCAGCTTCCTCTTCTCCCCCCTCCCCTATTTGCCTCCATACATCCGAGCCAGAGGGCTTGCATTGTGAGCAGCCTGCCCAGCCCCTCGCGTTGAGGTTCCCACCGCAGTACGGTGCTCAGCTGGTTCCAGGGCCCGTCCGCCGGTTCCCGCTTACGTGCCGCTACCACGGGTACTCCCGCAGCCCGTTACTCTTCAGCGAATGGAAGATGTGGTTGCGCGATCTACTTTGTTCGTTTAATACCTGTATGAAGACTTTCCATATTTAACTGGGAGAATTTATCGTCATTTAGGAATCGAGAAAATCCTTCTTTGTGCAGAAGTAAATTTCGGCCTGTACAGTTCAGTTCATTGCGAGAGTATAGGTTTGATCTGTGAAAACACAGTTAATTTTAAAGACTGCATAGGATTGTTTCCAAATACTACTGCGCACACATCGTGAAAACAGAACGTGTAATCTCACGATTGCAAAGAAATGGAATCTTGGATTGTTTAAATTAGATAGATAGACTAGATTGTTAGGGATAATTAGTATTCGATCGAATTTGCTCAAGTGAGCATGCAAAAAAGGAGTAATCTGAAAAGCTTATGATACTGTATTTAAATTCCAGTTCAGTATGCAGGATTAGTTTTTGTGACTGCCATATCTAGAATGCACTGATTTATGTCATTCTGGGAATAGCTTTAGAGTGCTTTGGGTGTCTCTAGTTAAGATTTTTCCATATATTGTACTGATTAGGATTTTTTTTCTTTTTAATTGTCAAGATAAGTGCTTGTGGTGTTCTGCCATACATCTTTTACCCTGAGAATCCCGCAGCCTGAAATAGCAATTTTCTAGAGGAAGTGCAATATATTTACATGTCATTACTCAATTTTGTATATGATATAGATTAGATATAGCTTTTACCTGAACTTCTATTTTCCGTTAGGGAATATGTTATTTTTTTAACAGTTTATCTAGTTAGTTAACTGTGGAGAAAATGGCTGTGATCTAAAGAATAATTTCTTTAAATGTAAGGGATTGTAGGTATCAAACTTGTTGAAAATCTTTGAAATGAGAAAAAAAGGCAGTTATTGATGCAGACTGTCTCATGGATGTGGGTACAGAAAGCCCATAAATGTGAGAAGAATTAATATATGAGCAAAGAAGGTAATTTCATAATTTGTTGATGAAATTTGAATTGGATTTCCATTGCGAACATCATCCAACAGTATGACATTTTCAGTTATTTAAAAACAGAACAAAAACCCAACCAAAACCTAAAATACCTTAGATCCTGTAGTGTACTCTTCGAAAAGAATGTTTCCTACTTTATGGAGATAGGGATATCGAATGTAAACGTTTGAGTGGGTAAATGTGGAAAAGCATCAAGTTTTCAGCTCTGCTGAAAGTCTTTACAGAGCCGCACAAATGTATCCATCGTCATGAGAATTTAAGTCCTCTGATATGCAACAAAATTTTAAACCTATGACATTTTTTAGAATAAATTGTAGGGAATGGCTTTTTTTTTTTTTTTTTCAATCAGTGGACACGAACTTTGGAATTTTTTTTTTTTTTTTTGGGGGGGGGGGGAGGGAAAGGGGAAGAGGGGAGGAGAGTTGAGTGACCCTGATGCTAATGTGCTCAAATTAAGGAAAAAAAAATTGCTACTTTTCGGGGGAGGGGAGCCACAAAAGTGATTATCTATTGCGTTTGAAAATAAAATATATAAAATATTTTATATCTTGAAAAAGGAATCTAGGACACTGGCTGAAATAGCAAAGGCAGAACTTGATGGTACTATATTGAAGAGCAGACCTCTTCGAATTCGATTTGCTACACATGGAGCTGCCCTAACGGTCAAGAATCTTTCACCTGTAGTTTCTAATGAGCTGCTGGAACAAGCATTCTCTCAATTTGGGCCAGTGGAAAGAGCTGTTGTTGTAGTAGATGATCGCGGCAGAGCTACAGGAAAAGGTTTCGTAGAGTTTGCAGCAAAACCTCCAGCACGGAAAGCTCTAGAAAGATGCAGTGATGGGGCATTCTTGCTAACAACGTAAGTTCACAGGCTTTTATTTGAATTTGTGTGATTATATATTTCTGATGTGAAGGAAAACTATATTGATTAGTATTCCCTGTTTCTTATTTTATTTTCAAATTATGAAAGCCATGAGGTGAGAAATTAAGGTGTTTTACATGAATACCTCAAATCCTCCTGACTTAAAATTTTCATTGATTGCACTCTTCCTCATTCCATTAACAATGTGACAAAACAATATTCCTCTGATTCTTAGCAAAACAGTGCACTACATTGTTTGTATTTCTATAAACTTAAGAAAGTCTTCCTGTGTTTATTTCTATCTCAAGTTTTATTTGTGTCTTGAAAGGCGAAAGGTGGTGTGGTGGGTTGGTTTTTTTTTAAATGAAGACTTAGATTCTGCAGAAGTTTATGGCAACAATCTCTGGAAAACGTTTCTATTTTAAGGGCAAGCAAGCTTGCAAATTACAGGCCTTCTCTCTTGCAACTCTTCTGTACTTGCTGAAGAGAGTAGTTAACTGCTGTGCTTTAACACATTCGCTAGTGACATTTTCAAATGCTTTCTTAAAGACTGTGAAATGATAGATATTCAGGATTTAAAAAAAAAATAAAAAAAAAAAAATTCTGATTCTCATTTGGGAAAATAAGACTGTGGTTCCACAGCATGGAAACTTGCTGGCATCAAATTGGGGAACTTGTAGTTCTTTTTCTCTTCCTGCCCTGGCTGTGCTGTTGATCATATATACTTATATATATATAAGTATATATATATACACACTATATATATAAGTAT